AGCTGTCTTAAATTTGAAATTCTTTCTCCTGTTCCAAAGATATTGTAACTGCACTATGCATTAACGACGACACCCTGAGACATCAGTGCGGCTCACGACCGCTAACGTCTCACAGAAATACGAAACAAAAAGGAACCATCCAAGCCAAGAAATGAGCATGATCCTCACTAAATATCACAAATATTGCAACATAAAGACATTTAATGTGTTTCAGGGTGGATTTAATTCCTTTAAACATCTTCATTCTCAGCCAGTGGGGGTTAAATGAATAAAAACTGAATTAAAAGCCAATGTTTATTGTCCTGGTCATTAGAGAGCAGTATGTCTTTCCTGAGAGGGCACGAAAGTGATTTCAGAACTGCACTGAAAAGAACCAGAGGCCAGAAAGTAGTAAAGAACTGCACAACTTCCTTCGCTTTGTTTTTTACCCTCTTCAATCCATTTATATCAACTGTACACAGATCAAATGCTTACAGAATGGCATTATTAGGGGGGAGGAAAATAGCATACTGTCTATTTGCACTTAGGTGAAAATGGCCAAACAATGAACCTATTTGTGCCATTAAGCACCAAAAACCAGAAGTGTGCATATGTAACAAAATTGTCAGGACCTTATTTATTAGCTAATTTGCTGAACATGCTGTGCTAATGTTGAAAGCTAGCGCAGCTCCAGAAGTAGCACTTATGTGCTAAATCATGACAGTTGCGCTCTAATAGCAGCAGAGGATTTGCAGTGGTGTAAAATGTTAATAAATCTGCTCTGTTATGTGGTGAAGTAAAACTAAAAATGATTATGAAAGACATTCTAGAGTTGAATCATTCTGGCTGATTCTGACTGAGCCACATTCAGGTTTTTCAGTAGTTTTCTCATTACTTCCGAAAGGAAAACGATCACGACTAATCACAACTAGCTACAGTGCCCTGTGTTTTTAAGCTGGCTAGCTAGTTAACTCGGCTAATGTTGGAGGTAGAAGTAGTTCTGGTTCCTCTGATATATCTGTACAGGTTTGCCTGGTGTTAAATAAACCACTGAGAATTCATATTCGTTATAATGCAGGTTTATTAGCAGCTAGCATGAAATCCGCTAACTAACAACGTTAATGTTTGTGATGAACAGATTCTTGGGTGTTTTGCAAGGCTGTGTTTTGACAAGGTTGTTTACTGTTAAATAAATCTCTGGAAATGTATCAGTTGAGAACTCATAGTGAAATCCCCCTCATGTCAAACATGTGCTAATTTATTAGCAGTTACTTATTAGAGAGTATGGAAGACATGTGGCTGGCAGGGTTGCCAGGTCTCACCAAAATTCCCTACCCAGTCTGAACAACTGCACAACAGGACCAGAAAATATCCCAAAAACATTGGGCATTGTACAACTGAGATGCATTTGTTGTATTGTTTTATCATTCTTTGCATGTGAGACAAGTTCTCAATGCTTCACAGAACACACATATCTGATTTGCATTATGTCTCTTTTTTTTTTTAATCATTAGCATAGTCTGGATAATATGCAGTCCATAATCCCCTTTCTCTCACATAAACTGTGCCATTTTTCTTAAATAGAAACAGTTCTGTATATTGTAGCTACACCGTCTGCACTTACACTTTCCCTTTGTTTGCCAGAGTCTATAGTTATGAATATTGACTTGATTTAATTCCAATTATTTGCTTTAAAACAAGACCATGGCAACCGTCAACTGGCCCAAATAACACAACCTGCGGACTTGCTTTATGTTTGCAGCCTTCTTCCACAAATGCTGTAAAAATACATAATCCTGGCAACCCTATGTGTCTGTTTACAAATTGTTTAAATACTGGTATTTTAATGATGGTATGTTTCTTCTGCATTAAAAACCTACTTAGATATTTTAACATGATTCTGCTGCTTTCAAATCGGTACTGTTTTATGGCCATTATTGCATACTTTTCTTGTTTGTTTGTTGTTGTTTGTTGTTGTTTTTTGTTTTTTAAATCCTGTTTCTATGGACAGGTTGATGTTTTCACGATTCCGTTTTCCTCCTGTCAGTCTCTCATCCATCCTCCGATGAAGATAATTAATCAGAACCAGGCCGCCATATTGCCAGAGTCTCCACAGGACTATAGCTCTGGTTCATTTGGAGGTCACAGCGATGGAGGATCAAAGGCTTTCCGAAAGAAGAGAGAACACTCTTTCCCACTCTCGCTTTCATTTTTTTTAGGCAGTCAGTCTCTCTCGCTGCCTCTCCATCTCTCTCTCCCTCTCTCTTTGATCTCCGCATTCGTTCTCTGAAAGAAGAGGCAGCAGTCCCTCCCGGCTGTTCCTCTTCTCTTTAGAATGTCGTAAGAAGCTGCACTTGATATCCTCATAAAATGCGACACACACACACATACACAAATATACACATACACCCAAACACAACAGAAGCAAAGTCAGGCTCTCTGGGGTTGGCAACCTCCACTTCAGCACTTGTGTGGGAGTCGAGCTGCCTACTTGAAACAATGCAGCAATGGAGAGGGGGAG